ACACACACACACACACATTTTCACACATTTCTATATAAACAGAGTCACACAGCCACAGAAAGAGACACTCCACCGAAACCGGAAGTAGAGCGCAAATTTTGTGAATGCACTTCCGCTTAGTGGGCTGTGGACTGGGGTCTGCGGCTACATATGTGGATACATATACCGTTATCATCAGATACTTATGTGTGCGAGCCCAGCTCTTTGTTATTTATAATGCAACTGGCGCAACGAAATACGAAATAAAGTATACCATAAATGTATTCAATGGCGAGATTTATGTGCTCAGCATTTCACAATTACACAATTACATTCTGCGCATTTTATAGCATGCTTTTTGGGGCTTTCATAGCTCATGGTAAACACATGCATTAATCAGCGAAATTGAATAAATTATACATGTCATGGGCATGTCAAGCATTTAATAGTATTTTCCTGTTCAACGCACTTCTATTGGATGTGCATTTAATTCCGAATTTTATTAGGATTTTCTTTTTTTTTTGTTGCCAAATTGATTCCTGTTTACAATGTGTTTTTGGGCTTTAATGCATTGTATTTGTAAGCATAATAAATAATTCAAAAGCAGCCGCCTTCATCTGTGGAATAACGTTAAAATATGTTTGGCTTGTCCATTCAAACATGTATCCGGCTGATACTGTAATAACTCGGCTTAAATACAAACATATTAGACAGATTCTAATATTAAATAATAGTAAATAAATCTTACCTTATGATATTTCACATATACAATTTTGTGACAAGGGATAATCAATCTCATAATATAAATAATATATTCGCTACTATTAAATAAGCTGTGCTTGGCTTCGTCAAAATCTCCAGCTCCTTTTCAATTTTAGAAAATAACTGCACTAAATTCCATAATATTCCAGAATACTTGAAACACAAAAAGTGTTTGCTGTTCTTGTTTATTTATTTAGCATGTTGAAAAATTTGAAAATTAATGGGACGAAAACACTTTGTTTGAAAGGAAAAGCTTAATGCAATATAAACAAATTCATTTACGAACTGAATACATTTGTATATATATATAAATGAATGCAAATAATTCACTCACCACGAATAGCCCACTTTATATTTGGATATTTGCTTTTATTGTTTATTGTTTTCACAGATAAATTCATGGAAAATGTACTAGTAGTCACGTTAAAGTGGAAATAACATCAGTCATCGAGTGCAAACAGGAAAAGCTTTTAAGGTTTTTCTTGAATTTCAGCAGACCAATTTAAAGCTTATTGAATTTAGGGACTTGCCTCTGTTTAAGTGATGTCAAGGGGCCTGCAACACGAAACAGTTTTTTCGTGGCGACTTGACTGAAACTAATGCACGCCAATTTTCAATACAGAAAATCGAACTTTTAAGTGGGCGCCGACGCGACTAGCGCTATTTTAAGGGCTGCATTCGAGGAGGGGGAGGGGTATGAGACGGAGGCGGAGGCGTGTTCGCCCGCCCTCTTAGGGGGCATGGCTGAAGTTTACAAGCAACTGCTACTGCTGCTGCTGCCGCTGCCGCTGCCGCTGCACATGGCGAGCAACCACTTAAAACTGTTATCGATGAACACGCTTGTTGAACCAAGGGCAGAGGCGGTGACCGGAGGCAAAGCCAGGGGCTGGCAGCAGGCACTGATCTGATGAGGCAATGCCATTGAGCTGTCCCGGCAACGAATGCGTTCTGTGCGTGTCCGAGAACACAGAAAATGGCGAAAATGTGAAAATATGAAAATATGAAAATATGAAAATGAAAACGAAAATAACGCTGCGTACTTAACGGTCCTTGCAGCAGAGGCATCGGCAGCAAACAGCAGCAGTGTCCAGCACTTTACTATTTTTTATGATTCGACGATAAATTAAAAATGTTATTAACATACTTGCTGGCGCCAGTAGCCGCTCCCCACTCCCAACAAACGTCAACTTGTCCACCACTCGGCACTCCAGACTGGAAACTGACTGGATAAGCACTTTTAATGGCCTGAGCATAATTGAAGGCGTACGCAAATAGGGAGCCCCATCGCCAACCCCTCCAAACACCTCAATCCGCCCCTGGCAACCTCTACAATTATTATTCGTTGACTAAAGCATAAAAATGAAAAGTTTTCTCCTCTTGCAAGGGTTTGGACCATTGCATTTTCTGGTAGAGTGCCTGGCAGTGATGCCAATTTATTCTTTTTCTCGACTGATCTGTCTTTTTTTGAAAACTGATTTTCCAAACTTCCCCTTTCGGAAATCTATCCTGTTTTCATTTCAAGAAAAATGTATATGTTTTTCGTATTTTACTTAAATTTAAAATTAATATTTACGTAGTATTATTTTTGGTTGTCGAAAAAGTATCAAATTTTTAAAAATATAAATTTATTTTTAGTAGAAAACTAAAGTTCAAAGAGCCAATTGTTCACATGTTAGAAATTTATATAGGAACATTTGTCCTATATTTGTTGCTATTGAATGTTGAGGTGTCGAATGAGCAGTTTGAGTGAACTTTCGCCCAATTTTCTTTCGTTAAACCCAAATTGCAAATCCGCCTTCAAATACAGACGTTAAGCGCACTCAGAAAAAATTAGAAAATAACCCTGATTCTTTTACTTCACATTCCTTCAAATAATCCACATTTTATGCAAAAAATGATTTATCTCTAACAAATTTTGTTTGCGTTTACTGATAAATTCAAAAATTTAATTTTGAGCCTCATTACAAGAATCTGTTTGATATGTAATTGTGTAAAAGTTAGGTAATATAAATATTCACTGATTAAAAATATATAAATATATACCACATAATTGAAACCATAACAAGAAATTTATTTCTGTATAATTAGACCGGTACAAATAAACCCACAGATTAAATGAACAATTTATTTTTAACTACTGCAACTTTTCAAAACAACAACAAAATGTATGCATTTGTTTGTACAAAATGCAAACAGAAACCATTAGCTAGTTAAACACAAAAGCATTTGTATTTATGTTCCCGCCATTCCCACAACTCTCTACAAATAATTGCATTTTACACAAATGCTGAGCATTTCATTAAAAATTAATTGAAACATGCCTAATTTCATTCGCCGTATGCACGGGGATAAAAGTTAACTAAAAGTTTCTGAAATTCAGCAAATAACACGTAGACTCCCCCTCAAAGTCGTGTGTATTTTGTTAAAAAAAATGCAAATATTTTTCACTGCATTCGAAGCTGAATGGTGAATGCTGAGTGTGGAATGAATCTGATTGTAAATGCGAATATAATTCACTCACCAATCGGTCAGCCACCAGGCAAACAAACAATCAAAACCTACGATTCAATTAAATCTGTATAACAAATAAGAAAAGTACAATTAATTATTATTCGTGGAACAATAAAAATTGGGATATTTCCATGCAACTGCTTAAAGTGACATAAGCAAAATAGTTTGAATAACAAATTTTACAGTCTGTTTATTTTATTTTTAAATTATAGTGAATGACTGAGTGCATCGCTGTTTAACTCTTTGAATGCAACCTGCTCACAATAGGCTTTCATTCATAAATGAAAACGTAAGAACAATACCCGATGCAGTTGCTGGGGGTCGTGTCGGTAAATTCAATACAAATAATATACATACATATATATATATATATATATATACATATATGTATATAAATGCATATGTGAAACACAACAGTAAATTGCAAATTCTCTGACATTAAACAAATAGGAATCGCTGCAACATTTATTGAAACGCAAAGTGCGTCAGTAAATGACAATTTTATTGCCTGCATTCGTTGTTGGTTACTCATTAAACAGTTTATAATTCCGGCTACGAGTTTTTAATCATCACACAATTCAGGACAGTAACATTTTTACTGCTGCGGCTGCTGATGCTACTGTTACTATTGGTTCTTAAATTGCCAGACGATCTGGGAAGACCGCATTAAATTGGAAATGCCATTAAGTGTGGTTACGTAATGCATGGACATGAATAGGTCTTTGAGGTGGAGCTGAAGTTGGAGCTGGGTTCTCTTTAATGCTTTTACCCACAGCGAATGTGTGCATTCAATTCACTTAATTCCGACTTAAAACAGACTAAATTGCAATATTTCAATTAACAATTGGCAAAATTAATTTTACGAAATTTAGACAATATACAAAATTGGTTAGAATAAGGCAATACGTGCAGATCTATAATTATTACACTTTGCAAACACTTTGAAACTGCACTAATATCTTTCCAGTGTTTTCTTCTTTAACTTGTCTTCAAAATAATTTAAAATAAAAGATTGTTTCTGATTAAGATTCGATTGGTTTTCGGCTTACTTTGAAAGCGGCAAATATTTTATATTCAGACTCGTCACTAAAAATGACGTTATCCCAAATAGAGATCACAGTGACTCTCACAAAATTGGACAAAAAATCATAAGAATCCATGGCTAAGAAAAACGTAAATAAAGAAAAATTTTCCAAGTTCGAATACATATGCTCATTTCAATATAAAATATTATATATTTAATAAATATATTAAAATATCTGGCATTATAATAGTAATACTTAATAAAAATAACAATTAACAAATGAGAAATATTGCAAATTAATAATTAATAATCAAATTACACACATATAACAGATCATTGAATATTTTTTTCGCTTTGAAATTTATTTCTAGTTGTGGGATTAAGCACCAAACCAGAAAACGTGTAAAGTTAATTTTCCAAAAATGTCTTAATATTGTAAAAAATTGCCAGTTTTAAATGTATATACTAAAATCGATATAGTATTAAGAAGTTAAGAATGTTGTATAATAATATATTGTATTATGTCCAAACGTATTTAATTTAATTTATAACTAACAATGAAAACAATTACAGACTCAATTATTCACGCTTATAAGCAAATAAGTATTTTTAACCATGTAAACAACGAGAATAAATTGCGTTTATTAATATCTATTTGATTGATGTATTACTTGTGATAATATTTGTTTTGCTCTTTTGTGTGTTTTTGGGGGAACTAGCTTACCAGACAGCAAAGTGGTTGAATTCGTTGCCTCGGCCCGAAAGTAGACTCAGATGTTGGCCGTAGTATGAATGTGCTGTGTGCACAGCGTTTTTAATTTGCGTTAAGAGGTTGTGTGAGACGCGCGCCAAAAAGTATGCTACACAAACTATGAATGTCTTCTGGTTCCGTTGCTAGCAAGCCGACTGCCGACTGCCGTCGTCGATGTCGATGTCAATGGTTGATGTTTGATGGCTGATGTGCTGGTAATGTGATTAGTTGGTGTTGGTGTGTGTACGTGTACGTGTGCCTGTGCGTGTGCGTGTGCGCTGGTGTGTGAGTGTGTTGTGAGTATATTTTAATTTAATTATGTCGTCGTTCGCCCCGTTCTTTAGCTACGAAAAAACGGCTCAAAGCAAAACGAGCGCAAAGCGAAGACACGCACCAATAAACAAAGGCAACAATAATAACAGAAAAACAGAAGGCAGCAGCAACGGAGTGATGGCTGGCGGATGGCGGGTGGCGGTTGGCTTATGGCGGTTCGCTTTAACTTGCTCGACCGACGACAATATAACCAAAGTGTAACGCGCGAATGACGAATGAATGACGAGTGGAATGCGAAATGCGAAATGCAAATGCAAATGATGCAAAACGACGATGCAGAATGGCACCTGTGCCACGTTCACTACGACGCTGGCTGCCTCTGTCTGCTGGCTGCTGCTGGCTGAGTGTCTCTGCTGCCTGCTATTTGATATCTGCTGCTGCTGCTGCTGCTTCTTTTAACTACAAAATATGCTGGCGATGGCTGGCAATCGAATGCAACTGCTGCCGCTGCCTGCTGAAAGCGACTGTTCGGCGTCTGTGCTGCATACGCCAGGGCGAGTCACGAGTGGAACATGTGGAACGTGTGAAACTGGAACAACCCAGTTGCCGTTTACTATTTTGAGTGCAACGTGCAGTTTTGAGTGCGCCGGAACGGGTGGGAAACGGAGAAACAGCCCAAGTGCTGCACACCTGTTCCCCCCACCCAACGCCCCGCGAGGAGGGTTGTGCGTGTGTAGTGTGGGTAATTTTATATATCGAGCAAGGAAGCTAGTCGAAAATTTAATTGAGTTAAGGATACTTACCTACTCCCTACTTAAGGGACACACAATTCAATATTTGGCTCATTAATATAAGGGTTGTTTCCTACTGGGATGGGAACGTGCATATTCGTACATACATACATTCACACATATATGTACATATATACATACATCTATTAAGCAATGATTGCTTACGCTAAAATGATTGCTTTTTGGAAAAACTCAATTAATATAAATATATATTCAACTGATTTTAATTGGAAATATAGCTGAAGACCACAATAGCAATGCTGTAAACCGCCTCAAGCTAAATTGTTCTCTTCATAATTGCAATTTTGCTGAATTTCATAATAATAATAATTGGAAATGATTTTCTAATTGCAGGCGAATCATATACTACCATCAAGTTTGAGCTATTTTTAAACTGAATAAATTATTTAAATGTAGTGTGTGTTGTAAATCGCATTAGAAATCTCGTCTCTTAGAAAACATTATTCCACGTTCAATTATACTTGCTCAAATCAATAAAATAAAAAATAAGAGAAAACAAGACAAAGGGAAAAAGTGTATTTTCTTCATATTGTTAAAAAATATCTGAATATCGGAATATTTCTAACAAAAATATACAAACGTTGCTAGCTGTGTTATTCGCGATATTTACACAACTGGATGAAATACTTCAATATATATCTGCAAAAGAAGAAAAACCTCTAAAATGACAAATTTTTTTTGTTAGAGGCAAAATAAAACACTAGTAATCAGTAATCAACTGTGCCTAATATAAAGTCAAAATAAGTAAAAAACAAATTAGAAATAAAAACAAAAAATATGCTTGCCACAACAACATTTGCTGATATCAAAAAATGCCTTTCTAAATTCAATTTCAGAGCATAAACATGTTTTAATTATAGGTTTTCCAAATTGTGTTTTCAATAATATTTATTACAATTTTCAATTATTTTTAGATTCATTTTTAAATTTTGTGATAACGTTTCCATTCAATTTCACCAATAACATTTTACTATTATTGATTCATACACACAGAAAAAATTGCCCAAAAATTCGGCATTTAGAAAAAAGTCTTACTAATTTGAAAACATATTTTTTCTCTTATGCATATACAATGAAGAAAAAAATTAAACCAGAACCATTATATATTTTTCAGTTAACATATTTTTCCAAGTGTATGAATGTATGTTCACATCTTTGGTTATAATTGCGTGGCTGTCTGGATTCGGCATCCTGTTCTTTATGTGGCTTTTTTTTAACCATCCCCTCTCTCTCTCTCTCTCATAAAATGTAATGATGCTGCTGGATGGATCCTGCTACTGCTTCATATGATTGTCTACACACATAGGCACAGGCGTGTGCATATTGTGGCAGGCAGACAGGAGCACAATAATAACGTTGCATGCGCCGCAATATGCAACAGTTGCGAATACGCAGACAGGAGTCTGGAGTTGCAACAGGAATTGGAGTCCTGGTGAAACGCACATTTCGCTTATGTGTGTGCGTGTGTGTGTGTGTGTATGTGTGTAAGTCGTTGTGTAATCTATCCATGAAAGTCGCTTCCGTTTTGCATTTAGTATGCTTTACGCATCGTTTGGTCGCGCAAATTGAGTTTCACTGTTGTGATTACTGTCGTTGTCGTTATCGTTGTCCTTTTTATACTTGTACTATGTCGTAAAAAGTGTACCGAAAATGTTGTTGTTCCTGCTGATTGGACACGCCTTTGACACGGTCACATATCATTTGTGGCTTTGGCTTTGGCTTTGACTTTGACTGTGGCCTCCAGCTGCAGTCCAGCCAAGCGGAATAACTGCAGATGCTTCCTCTTTGCCTCAATTAAAAACTTTCGACACTCTGTCGACTCGCCTGGCAATTTAATTAGCACAATCTAATCAACGAGTGGCCAAAATGATGAGATTGTCATAAAAGGTTCTCTTGCACAGCTTTGCACAAAGTCAGCTCAGTATAAATGACCAAATATGACATCTCTGATCCCATAAATGAAGTGGCAGTTGCCACGCCCAAGAGGAAGTCATCTTCAAAGGAACCGAAGCCTTCAGAAGTTGTTATGAACCCGGTGAATCTCCAAATGAAGTGAAACCATTAAAAAAATCAATAAATAAATAGTAATAATAAATAACAACATAAAAAAATATTAGAAATTTAAATGCTTGTAAGTCGACTCGCCTATTCAGACTGAAAAAGACTAAATAATAATTATAATAATTTATTTATCAGAATTATTGAATACAGATCACTTCAAAATATAATTTATATAAATATTTTATATTTTTCATTGATATGCACTATGATTAAATTTTATGGTAAGTTATATTTCAAAGGCAAACCGTAAAAACAATTCTTATGAATAAATAATGATTACTTTGGTTACCATGAAACTCAAGGAAAAAAAGGTTTACAAAAATACCAATATTATTACATTTCACGTTCGAGAATCGGAATCGGTTTAACTCTCTGCGTAAGTAAGTGTAAATGTAAGCTCCGCTAATTCTATCCTAGTCGAGCGGAAGCACTTATATGTATGCACAGACAGATACACTATATCCTAGCTGTGGAGACTGGCTGAGATACATTTATATCCTATATACATATATACTCGTACTTCGTACATGGCACGAGCGACGACTGTCACAGAAGACAATTTATGCTTCCGTTGTGTGGGTGGCAGTAGGCAGGAGGCAGGAGGCAGATGGGGATGGGTCGTCTAATAGGATTGCGGCTGTCATTTTTGGAGCTCCAATGCTGCAATCTTGAAATGTGTGCCACATTGGGGTTAATGCAGCTAACGTCGCCCAACGGCAATTAATACATACGAGCCAACATTTTCAGCTTATGGGAATGACAATGCGAATAAATAGTCAATAAAGTAAAACAACAAATTGAAGACACCAATTTCAGTTATAATTTCACGAATTTTATTTTATATATTCTATTTCTAATCGACATTTTATAGCTCTGAGATCTTAAAGTAAATTATTAAACATATACATGTATAAATGTAATTTTAATTAAAAAAAAAAGAACTGAAAAATTGGAATTTTTAAAATTAAAAAAACGCTTCGATAGAATTTAGTTTAAACAACAAAATTTATTCTTGCAAATCTATTATAAACATTTAATTATTAATTAACAACAACAGCAACAATAATCAACAACAACAGCATTCAAAATGAGATAACGAAAAAGAAAATAAAATAAATTAACAAATAATAAAATAACAAAAAAAAATGGTTTCCGCCTTAGAATTTTTGCAACTTGTTGGCCATATCGACAATCATGTGCAGATTGGTGTTTAATGTCCTGATTTGATTCAAAACCGACGAATCCAGCTGCTTGAGCACCTCGCGTTTAACCTCCGACATCTTCTGCGGTTGCAACTTTAGCACACCCACCTTGGTGGGTATATGAACGTTGGCACAGCGATCTGGAAAACTGCAACAGAGAAGATGAGATGAGATCAGCATTATGAGTTAACTTTTGGCAACCACGTTGTTGAAAATAATTTTACACTCGATCTGAGGATCTGATGCTTAGTAGATTCTCGATATTTATACGACTTACGTTTGTACTGCAAGTGGGCTGCCAGCCGAAGACAGAGCCACCTCGCCCGGCTTTGGCCAGCGCAGCAGTGCGATAGAGGGCAAGTCGGAGCGCTTGAGCACCGCTCTGTCCACGGATTGTATTTGGTGGCGTGGCTGCAAAACAGGTGGCATCTGTGGCTGTGGCGTGCGCAGACGTCCGGTGCGTGTGCTGACGGATTGGCTGCGTGGCTTGGGGGGCTCAGGAGCTGGAAAGGCACACAGTTAGTAACTGCTAGTTACGATTGACAAGACTCGTACCTATCCACTGATAGTCCTCAAAGTGATCCAGCTGGAGCTTGAGGAACTCGCTCCACTTCATCTGCAGCACGTGCTTGTGGGTGCGTGCGAGGATTAGCTGCATTCGATTGTTGACCTGTTGGATGCAGTTCTTGCCCAGCTCATCAATCTTCTCCAGTGCCGTCTCCAGCTTCATTTCGGCCATGCGCAGCTGCTCCTCCTGCTCTGCTTCCTTTCGCTGCAGCAGGCGTTTGCGCTTACCTATTTTGGTGCGTGGCATTCTTGAAATATACTGAAACAGTTTTCAGTTCTAGTTAACTCATTCTTCAAACACTGACAAGTCGCTGAGCCTGCTGGGATTAGACACATACATTTTTATTGAGTTGAACGAACTTTAATTTAAAAATACATTTTAAACAAATAGAAACTTGAGCATGAAAGCTGATCTTAAGCTAAATTATGTATATAGATTAAAAATATATATATTTATATATGGAGAAGAGGGTTGCAAGCGATGGCTACTTCAAGCCGGCCATTTTGGCCGAGTTCATGATCATTTGCAGGTTCTCGTGCAGAGTCTTTATTTGGCTTAGGGTATCTGAATCCAAATGCTCGACGAGATCCGACTTCACCTCGTCCAGCTTTTTGGGCCGCAGCGACAATACCCCATTGCGGATGGGAATATTGCAATTAGCAAATTTGTCTGGCATGCTGCAAAAATAGAAATTGGGAGATTGAGATCTTTAATAAGGTGAAGCATTACAATTGTCGCTCGTATATTGGAAATTACTTGTTTTCGGATTTCATTCTAATTTATGCAAATCCTATTTGTATTCTCAAGAAATAAAATTAATTATTCGAATTCAGCTATAAATGCGGATTATTATTTATCGATAAGTTCTCTTTAATTTTTGCTATTTAAAAAAACACAAGACGCAACTGAATGGAAAGAATCGAGGCTTTACCGATTCGCACTATTGATGTGTTAACGATTTCCCAGCTATAATGGATGGGCCTCATAGGAACGGATGAAAGCATAGACCAATATAATCTGCTATCTCCGGTATAAGACTGGAAAAAATGAATGAAAAGCTCAACTAACGAAAAACAACAGATATTTTTTAGATATATCCTGGATATACCAATGCTAAATTGATCATTTATCACTCAAGTGTTGGTATCAGTAAGAAACGCATAACTGCTGAGTTTCTTTCAGTTTTGCGGTTTCCATTTTTAGTCTCTAATCTTTTTGAATAGTTGGTTTATGAACTTCAATTGTAAATCTGTTTTCGATTCCAATTTTAATGGTGGAGCGAATTTAGCATGAGAACAGAGGACAAGTACTTACACCTGGGCTACGATGGGACTGCCATACTTGGAGAGTGCCACCTCGCCGGGTTTGGGCCAGCGCAGGAAAGCCATGGGCGGTGTGCTGGGAGACGTGGAGCGCTGCTTGGGCAGATTGCGGGGAGTGCGATCTGCGCTAAATGCCTTAGGACGTGCTGTCATCGGAGTTCGCATCTTGCTGCGTGAGATGCGACTCGCATTTGAGCTGCTCCTGACCACTCCTCCTGCTGCTCCTGTTGCTGCGCTGCTCGTATTGGGCAGCACCTTGGCAGCGCCGCAAGCGGAGCGACTACGCCGTTCGCGACGCGCACGTGCCGAATGCAGTGGTCCAGGTGTGCGCATTGCCTTCACCGAGCGCATCGAACCCCCGTAGGCCGATATAGCGCCCCCGCTCAAGCAGCTGTCCTCTGTAAGGTAGCCTGAATGTAGTGTGACCAGATGCCAGCAAGTGGTATATGTGTGCGAGTGTGTGTTTAAGTGCGACGTGTGTGAGTAGATGATAATGTGGGGATTAGAGAGAAGAAGCAGTAAAGCAGAGTAGAGAACGCGTCACCAAAGAGAATATAAATAAATGCAATAAATACAATCACCGCAGTCGGAACTAGCCGACTGCTCAATGCTCTTTTAACATAACTGAATATAGGCTAAGGGGAGAATTTTTGATTGAATGTCAGTAAAGCTTGACATCGACAGACAGACGAATATCAATATCAATATCAAGTTGGGTGCACTTTCTGAATGAATGATGAGAATGGAAATTACCTTCATCATTGCGACTGTTGCTCGATGCTGTGAGTGCGCTGCTGTTCTTTATATTGCAATTGCTGTTGCTGCCCCCGTTGCCGGTGGTTGTGTTGGCGCAGAGTGACTGCGATCCGAGGTACTGCGTCTGATCGCTGGGCTTGAAGTCGGCAAAGTGTTCGAGGTTGGGGAGCAGCTCGAGGAAGAGGGCCATTTTCATCTCGCGCAGCTCTGTTGGCATTCGGGTGGTCAACGCCTGCAGCTGTATTTCGACCATCGCCTTGTAGCGACTCTCTACGTCGTCGATGTTCGTCAGCACGGAATCCATTTTAATTTCGAATGTGCGAATCTTTTCCTCGCGATTTGCAGCCTCACGATTGCGCTTCGAGTTCTTCGATATCTTTGTGCGTGGCATTTTCGCAACGTGTTTCTATTCCGAATGGTTCTACGTGAAAATTGCGTTTACTAAATATACTATTCTTTATTTTTCTTTGTTGCACAACGAACAAGCGTCGTTTTTGTCGACTCCCTTTTGAGTTTTTCCGCCGTTTCTGTGCTGCTGGCTTCGATAGAAAACATTGATGTAAGCGTTGCCACCCTGATACATGTGATATATCGATACTGTTATTCGATTTTAGCGTTCGCTGAAGCACAGCTCTCGAATAAGTAATTACACTGTTAACCTGTTTGCTGGGATATTATCTAAGAATCTACGGAAAAATAAAAATGTATGAATATCGATATCGAGAGAGAGAGATACTCTCTAACATTGATGACATTGACGAAGCCGAGGAAATCGATGTTGAAGTTGGCGCTAAAGAGATCGCCACAAGGTGCGTGTTTGAGCAACGTTCTGAGCTGGCACAAACACCCAATACGAATTCTAAAGTTGTCACAGATTTTAAAATGCTACAAACCATGTATATATGTATATATTCTAGCTATTTGTTTCGCGCGCACAAACTAAATTCGAAATTTTCTCCCACAAACTGAACAGGTTAACAGTGAGTTAACTATGTGAATTACGTTTTCGAGAGCTGTTTACAATGTTTGTTTCTTTTGGTACGGAGCTTTTCGTGTGCGCACGCTCTTTGATCTGCGTACTAGGCTTAAACAACATGTGTAATCGAACGCACGTATCGATATATCGCATCATGGTATCAGGGTGGCAACGCTACATCAATGTTTTCTATCGAAGCCAGCAGCACAGAAACGGCGGAAAAACTCAAAAGGAAGTCGACAAAAATGACGCTTGTTCGTTGTGCAACAAAGAAAAATAAAGAATAGTATATTTAGTAAACGCAATTTTCACGTAGAACCATTCGGAATAGAAACACGTTGCGAAAATGCCACGCACAAAGATATCGAAGAACTCGAAGCGCAATCGTGAGGCTGCAAATCGCGAGGAAAAGATTCGCACATTCGAAATTAAAATGGATTCCGTGCTGACGAACATCGACGACGTAGAGAGTCGCTACAAGGCGATGGTCGAAATACAGCTGCAGGCGTTGACCACCCGAATGCCAACAGAGCTGCGCGAGATGAAAATGGCCCTCTTCCTCGAGCTGCTCCCCAACCTCGAACACTTTGCCGACTTCAAGCCCAGCGATCAGACGCAGTACCTCGGATCGCAGTCACTCTGCGCCAACACAACCACCGGCAACGGGGGCAGCAACAGCAATTGCAATATAAAGAACAGCAGCGCACTCACAGCATCGAGCAACAGTCGCAATGATGAAGGTAATTTCCATTCTCATCATTCATTCAGAAAGTGCACCCAACTTGATATTGATATTGATATTCGTCTGTCTGTCGATGTCAAGCTTTACTGACACTCGATCAAAAATGCTCTCCTTAGCCTATATTCAGTTATGTTAAAGGAGAATTGAGCAGTCGGCTAGTTCCGACTGCGGTGATTGTATTTATTGCATTTATTTATAATTTCTTTGGTGACGCGTTCTCTAACTCTGCTTTACTGCTTCTCTCTCTTATCCCCACATTATCATCTACTCACACACGTCGCACTTAAACACACACTCGCACACATATACCACTTGCTGGCATCTGGTCACACTACATTCAGGCTACCTTACAGAGGACAGCTGCTTGAGCGGGGGCGCTATATCGGCCTACGGGGGTTCGATGCGCTCGGTGAAGGCAATGCGCACACCTGGACCACTGCATTCGGCACGTGCGCGTCGCGAACGGCGTAGTCGCTCCGCTTGCGGCGCTGCCAAGGTGCTGCCCAATACGAGCAGCGCAGCAACAGGAGCAGCAGGAGGAGTGGTCAGGAGCAGCTCAAATGCGAGTCGCATCTCACGCAGCAAGATGCGAACTCCGATGACAGCACGTCCTAAGGCATTTAGCGCAGATCGCACTCCCCGCAATCTGCCCAAGCAGCGCTCCACGTCTCCCAGCACACCGCCCATGGCTTTCCTGCGCTGGCCCAAGCCCGGCGAGGTGGCACTCTCCAAGTATGGCAGTCCCATCGTAGCCCAGGTGTAAGTACTTGTCCTCTGTTCTCATGCTAAATTCGCTCCACCATTAAAATTGGAATCGAAAACAGATTTATATATCTGTTGTTTTTCGTTAGTTGAGCTTTTCATTCATTTTTTCCAGTCTTATACCGGAGATAGCAGATTATATTGGTCTATGCTTTCATCCGTTCCTATGAGGCCCATCCATTATAGCTGGGAAATCGTTAACACATCAATAGTGCGAATCGGTAAAGCCTCGATTCTTTCCATTCAGTTGCGTCTTGTGTTTTTTTAAATAGCAAAAATTAAAGAGAACTTATCGATAAATAATAATCCGCATTTATAGCTGAATTCGAATAATTAATTTTATTTCTTGAGAATACAAATAGGATTTGCATAAATTAGAATGAAATCTGAAAACAAGTAATTTCCAATATACGAGCGACAATTGTAATGTATCACCTTATTAAAGATCTCAATCTCCATTTTCTATTTTTGCAGCATGCCAGACAAATTTGCTAATTGCAATATTCCCATCCGCAATGGGGTATTGTCGCTGCGGCCCAAAAAGCTGGACGAGGTGAAGTCGGATCTCGTCGAGCATTTGGATTCAGATACCCTAAGCCAAATAAAGACTCTGCACGAGAACCTGCAAATGATCATGAACTCGGCCAAAATGGCCGGCTTGAAGTAGCCATCGCTTGCAACCCTCTTCTCCATATATAAATATATATATTTTTAATCTATATACATAATTTAGCTTAAGATCAGCTTTCATGCTCAAGTTTCTATTTGTTTAAAATGTATTTTTAAATTAAAGTTCGTTCAACTCAATAAAAATGTATGTGTCTAATCCCAGCAGGCTCAGCGACTTGTCAGTGTTTGAAGAATAAGTTAACTAGAACTGAAAACTGTTTCAGTAGATTTCAAGAATGCCACGCACCAAAATAGGTAAGCGCAAACGCCTGCTGCAGCGAAAGGAAGCAGAGCAGGAGGAGCAGCTGCGCATGGCCGAAATGAAGCTGGAAGCGACACTGGAGAAGATTGATGAGCTGGGCAAGAACTGCATCCAACAGGTCAACAATCGAATGCAGCTAATCCTCGCACGCACCCACAAGCACGTGCTGCAGATGAAGTGGAGCGCGTTTCTCAAGCTCCAGCTGGATCACTTTGCGGACTATCAGTGGATAGGTACGAGTCTTGTCAATCGTAACTAGCAGTTGCTAACTGTGTGCCTTTCCAAAGCCGGGCGAGGTGGCTCTGTCTACGGCTGGCAGCCCACTTGCAGTACAAACGTAAGTCGTATAAATATCGAGAATATATTTTAATTAGTAATAATTATGAGGACAAGAGTTGACTAGATTGAATAGAAGATTGCATACCCTTCTAGACTGGACCATAACAGCTCAGTCTCGGTATTCACTTAAAAAACTGAACTGATAATCACAGAGCAGACAATCCATTATTATGTGTTTGTTTGATAGAGATGGAATCCAGTCCGACATACTGACTACGGTTGAAACATACGGATATATTCAAATTTTCATAATGGCTATCGATGCTGAGCAAGAATATATATACCTTTTATTAGGCGTCTGGTCGATACTTTATACACTTCACGACCCACTTTTTGGACTCTTTGAAGTCAACATCCGATTGGACTTTCAGTTTTAAAATCCACCTCATCTGGGCAAGAGTTGTTACTTAACTATACTTTATAAACTAAGGTTAAGATCGAGTTTCATTATTGTTAACAATGTTGTTGCTGATCTAATCTAATCGCTGCTACAGTTTTCCAGATCGCTGTGCCAATTACCAAAGTGGGGTTGCTGAAGCTGCAATCGCAGAAGATGTCGAAGATGGAATGCGAGGTGCTCAAGCAGTTGGATTCCTCGATTTTGAATCAGATCAGCACATTCAAGGACCAACAAGTTGTGTGGCGGAAAATTCAAAGAATTCATTTTTTTTTTGTTATCTTATTTTATTAATTTATTTAGTCTTTTTCATTATCTCATTTTCAATGCCGTTGTTTTTGTTTTTTTGTGTTGCTGTTGTTGTTACTGTTGTGTTCTTGCATTTCATTGTATATTTAATTTATAATTAATTAATAATTCAATTATTATTATTAATAGATTTGCAAGTACAAACATAAAAATAGCGCACATTATATTAAGTGTTTTTTTGTTGTTTGTTTTGTTTTTGTTTAATGTAAATTCAATTGAAGAGTGTTTTTTGAATTTTACAAATTCCAACTTTTCGGTTCTGTTTATACACCAAAATTACATTTACACATGTACATTATATAATAGAATTTACTTTAAAAAATTAGTCATTTCATTAATTACTTATGCACGTTGTTTGGTTTCTCATAACAAATATTTGTAATTTCTTGAATTTAGTTTAATTGTTTTCTCTTGCAACATTGTGTGATGTGAGTCTTTATATAATATGCAACTGTGTGTGTGTGTGTGTGTGTGTATTTGTGTGTGTTGTAAGTAAGAGAAGGTGTGTCACACATACAATACATAGCAAAAAGGTACATAGACTTACGTAAATAATGTCTGAATTATCATTTCATAGTTATATTATTTTTGTAGCCAGAGACGAAGACAACATATAAACAGTGACAGTGACGGTGACAGTGACAGTGACAGTGAATGAAGAGTGACAACAACACAATATAACATTTAGTTTTCTTATTAACATTTATGTGGCTTGCATTTAGGGTTAATTATCTTTAAGGATATCCTAAGAACATCTAATTTTATACATTTAATTGAAACGCGTTTCTCAAATTATTCCTTAAAATGTAATTATGCTGTGAACAAAATACCTCCTTTATTAATAATTCTTGATTAGGTTTTAAACGCTAAATCAATTAAAAAAAAAAAAAAAAGAAACCCCAATAACTGATAATATAACAGGAAAAACTGGAACAGGAAACAATATTGTATAAATTTGTATGTGCCTAAGTTAGACGAAAAACGTGAATACTTAGAAAGTATACTTGCATATGTAATGATTTGAACTGAAGTTTGCCCGAAATAAAAGTCGACTTTATTCCCATGTACGTATGTATGTATGTATCCCATTTCCCCATTTCTAACGCTTAACTGGCGAAACTAACCTACCGTAAATCAGTTAACTAGGCGCTCCCCGAACGCGTCAACTACGCTAAGTCCATTTTTTCAACCCAACCTCGACAAGTACTACGAATTTATTTTGGTTTCATTTCATTTTGGTTATTTTGTTTGCTTTTCTTTTTGTTTGTTTTTTGTTTTGTCGGTCATCCGCTCACTTGTTTTGTTCTTTATAACACAGCCAATCAACAATACATCGTCCCAGCTTTTCCGATACATCATTTCATCCATGCAAAAATATGTACAGAAGCAGAAACAATATACATATGAATTTGTTTCAATTTAGATGCCATAGTTTGAATCGTTTTCTAAGTTTACCTGTGTCTGTATCTGTGTATCCGTCTGTGTTTGAAGATTAATTTAATCATTTGTAAGCCATTGTGTATAAATTTCTAATCTTTGTATTGAAAGTATTTATGGATATTATGCATTTGTTGTGTGATTTTTATACAAAATTGTGCTATTCTTTTACTATTTTGTTTATAACTATTTGTTTAGGCTGTTGTTTTAGAATTTCATTATAATTTCTTTAAATGCTAATTAATATATATTTCTTCTTTATTTATTTATTTTTGTTTTTTTGTTTTTGTTTTGTTTTGTTTGTATTAGTTCCTTTGGGCACTACTTATTACGGTTCAGGGCTTCTTTGTAATTAGTAAATAGTATTTGTTTTTTGTTTTTGTTTTTGTATTCAATTCTTGTGTTTGTAATATTTATGTTTTAACAATTTGTGGTTGTTTGTTTTGTAGGCTTATGCACGGGTACAGGGCGTTGCATGTTGTTTTGTTATTTTTCATTTTTGTTTCGGTTTTATGTTGTTCTTTTTTTGCTTTTTTTTTTTTAATTTGGTACAAATTTATGGTACTAGGTTGCATAAAAAGTATTACGAGTATGTACAGCAAAAATATATGTATATATATATATATATATATATGTGTGTATATGTGGAAACTAAATGGATTTATTAAAAACTTGTATGCATACATACATTAAATATTTAGAACTTATCTATAGATGTGCTTGTAACTTATTTAAATATATTTATCAAAATCGAAACTGCATTGTTAAATTTGTTTATCATTTATTTTTCTTCTGTATAATTCGTAGCTAGCTTTAGTGGTGTGTGTAATGAATTGATGAAATTAATTCTTATGAATATGAAAGTTTATGTTTTCTTTTATTTTTTATTTTTTTGTTAATTTTTTGTAAATATTTATTTGTGAAATATATATATATATATATATGTATATATATATGCATGTATAACTATTTATTAATTTAATATATAATTTTGTATGCTTATAAATTAATTAATTTCATTAAATGCTTAAATTCATTAATGCACTTTATATGTACTTCTTGTGTTGCTGTGTGTGTGAAATTTGCTATAATCGTCTGCCAAGTCACTTAACTATATATGTTTATATATATATATATATATAGTATATATATATATTTGCAAAATCTATATGTATATACTGGCTAATCTTTAAATATCTTGCATCGTTCAAAACTATTCTAAATGCAGTATACTTGTGTATATTCATTTTGTTGTTGTTCTGGTTGAGGTTTTATTCAGTATAAATAAAGTCTATGTGAGAACCAAGGGAAACTTGCTGAAACTTGGCTTTTGACAATAATGAACTGAATGAACTGGCCGAATACCCCTGCAGAAAGCATTACGATTAATCATCATCATCATCATCATCATCAGTTCTACATAGGTATTTAATCGTCGGTGTGCCGAAGATAATTGCTGACTTCGTGGTTTTAATTTAATTGCATTAAATGTAGCCTCTTACAAAAACGAAATTTAACTAGTGGTGTCTATAAATGTAATCACTTAAGTTACTTATTGAATCAATGTTGTATGTATGTGAAACTTGCAACTAGCATAGAAATATATATAAGTATGTACAAATACATAAATATATGCGTATTGTTAATATTATAACTTTGTGTGGTAGCTAGTATTTATTTATGTTTTGTTTTTCTTTTTATAAGTGTTTATACCATATAAATTTGTATTTTATTATTATAGGTTTTTTTGAACTTAACGAGAGGTATTTCTATTTTCCCAAGTGTTAATATCGCCATTTGTATACACTTTGATTTTATTTAATAATCTTTTTGTATTATTTATCGTTGTCATTGTTTTCTCAGCATCATAATTTGTTAATGTTCTCATATATATAGAAGGAAGTGAAATAAAAAACTGTTAAAGAATCAATTTATTTGTATATATTGTATATAAATTTTTATTTACCTTTTTAAACATATTTAATAAAATTAAAAAATTATATTTAATATACATATATATACATATACAGATATATATATATATATACATATATATATACATATATATATATTGTATATGTGTATATATCATAATATTTGTATAGCATTTTTAAAATTATATTTATAACGATTGAACCCAACTACAGATTACAGATGCGTGAACAAAATCAAAAATCAATAACTAAAATAATTACACAATAAATGGAGAAACATTTCGAAAACTTTCTCGCTCAAGTTGAAATTGAAATAATTGTGGTAAACTACATAAAAATTTGTATAAGAGAAATTTTGTATGTTATCCGATATAACTTTGTTAAAAATTAGTTTAAACAAAAACCTGTAAAATAGCCTTCACATTGAATTGCAACGCCGACTTTTGTGCAGTTCGCCGCGCTTTTCTTTCTGCTTGTTAAAAATTACAAATTAATTAATTACGTTTAAAGCATTAACTAAATTATGAATTACAATTTCGTAAATAATAATAATAATAATAATAATAATAGTAGTAATAATATGTATAAGTATGTAATAGTGAAAAATATATGTACAATTACAGTTGAAGAGTTAATGCAGCTCAATAGTTAAATAGCATAACAAATATACATACATACATACATACATACATACATACATACATACTAATATAAGCAAATTGATTTTGTTTTTCATTAGATTGTTGTTGTTGTTGTTGAACTTGAAATTGAAATTGAATTAGTACGCCGAATAGTTGATGTTCTTAGGGTAATTGCTTAAAATTATATAGGTGTATGTATATAGGGGAAGGGGGGAGGGTTGGATAGAAACGTAAACGTTTGGAAATAGATTGATGTCCGAGGGACACGCTCTACAGCAACAAATATATATGCAACATTAGTATATTACAAAATTTAACAAATTATCACACTGAAAAAAATTCAACACTAATTTTAAATATGTATACATATATATATATTTAGTGTATATATGTGTGTGTGTTATATATGCTTACAATAGTTCGATCAAATTGTATACGCTTTTGTTAATTATATTAATAAATCGCAACGCTAATGCCGAGATATTATTTAAAGCCTAGCAAACTGCTGCTGATCTCTTTCTTTCATTTATTTCTTATTTGTTTTTTCTTTTTTTTATCGATCTATAGTGTTATACATATATCTTTCATAAACAACAGCTTGAAACGTTGCGTCAGCCGCATTATATACATAAATATACACATATATGCATGTATATCATATCTATATGTGTGTGTATGTATATATATATATACATATACATATATATATAGCATCTTAGCCTAAGCTTTTGTTTAAACGTAATAAATAATTTTTTTTGGGTTTTTGTTTTGTTTTTTTTTGTATAATTTTTTTTTAGCAGCTTTTCAAAATATTTAACAACAGCGTTTCTGTTATTTTAAAATTTTCTCTTTTTCGTTTTTTTGTTGTTGTTTGTTTGTTATTTTTTTTTTAGACGAGGTTCCCACATTTTATGCATTACAATTAATATTTGCTAGTTTTAATAATAAATATATTTATGTATATATGTGTATATATATATATATTTTATAACGTTTTGGCTTATTGTAGAGTGCTGCTAATTTAATTTAACTTTAACATGTACATTTTACACATTTCTAGAGGTTCGATCGCTTTTTCAAAACATTTGCTTTTATTCAGCTTTTTCTTTTCTTTTTTTTTTATTATTATTATTTTGTTTACAAAAATGCTGCGACATCCATCATCATTTCTAAATGGAAAACATTCTGAGAGCCTTATAAATGCGTTTGAATAACATAAATTTCTTGTTGTTGTTGTTGATGTTGTTGTTGTTGTTTAGCAGATTTTGTCCTTGAATTGTAGGGATTTTGTTTGCTTAGCCGCCGGCGCCTTAGGGTCACCTTGTGGCGCTGCTCGTAAAGAAGTCCGCTAAGGCGAAAAGGAGACTTGATTTCATTTGTTTTGTGCTTGTTGAGTGCATTTGTCTGCAGTTGCTGCTAAATAATACTTACGCGTCTCGAAGCTGAAGCCCAGCGTTGGGTCTGGCGGTGTGTTGAGCATTGGATTGCCAGTGCTGCCAGTGCCAGTGGGCGTGGCATTGCCGCCCATGGAATTTGTACTATTGCCGCTGCCACCAATCATTGGTCCCTGCTGCAGCGGACTCTGCGGCGTCTGACCGCGCTGTGCCACGCCCGCACCGCCTACGCCCACACCGCCACCAGTGGCAGCGGCAGCCGCCTGCTGAGCACGCACGCTGACCACCGCGCGCAGCTCCTGTTTGACAAAATCCGAATTGGCATTGCCACCGCCACCGCCGCCGCCGCCAGCGTTGCCAGCTGCAAGAATGGAAGAATGGAATGCGCATGGTGAGTGTCTTAACTAATTGTTTGGACTGGCAATACTCATTTTGACCCACAACTAAAAATGATTTTTAGTCACAATTATAATTGTTTTTTGTTTGTTTGTTTTTGGTTTTGGTTTTTTGTTTAACTTGCTAGACAGATAACATAAATAAATACACAACAGACAACAGAATACAACATAAGCATAAATATAATATACATGGAACACAAGTACTTATTAAATACATAAATAATCATTATATATGACATATGTTGGGGCCGGTTCTTGGGTTCTTGGGTAGGCGGGGTAAGGGGGTAAATAAGGTAGACATTAAGGCATGTGTTTGCTTAAAAAAAAACATATATAATAATAATAATAATAAGAAATAATAATCGTTGAAATATTCCGCTTGGCTTTGCTGAGTTTTTTGTGAGTGCTTTGATAGACAAAGTTAATTTGACTTAAGATTTATGCTTAATTTGAATGGATATAGATATATAGATATATATGAAGTCAGTTGAATTTATATCTATATATATATATAGATATATATATATATAGTTTATACTCGTAATTGCTTTTCTTTCTTTTTTCATAACTTCATTCAAAGCACTTACAAATTGTTTGCTCCTTGCGAATATCTCTCAATTAGGAAATAAAATAATAAAAAAAAAACGTTTTCCCAAATATCATAAAGAATAATAAAATACGTATTTTCTTCGACTCGTTTCTGGGGCGGGGTCTCTGCTATACATATACATATAGGTCTAAGGACTTTACATGGGTTAATACAGAGGGGGGTGCAGCAGCGCCTAAAATCTAAACCTTTTTTTAATACTTATGTGTGTATACAAATAGACCTAGATTATATACAAGATCATAGATATATATTTATAGTATACCATTATACAAAACTTGCAAATGTGGTTAGGCAATAAATGTGTGTGCGTGTGTGTGTGTGTGTTTGGTTGTGTGTGTGTGTGTGTTTTAAGGGGATCCCATGGATATTGTTTAGTTTATATGTACAAAATATTTACTTAAATATTTATATGGATTTGTATGCATTTCGTATGTACATAATGATTAGCTCGAATAATGGATTATATACATCATATGTAATATGTATATGGGGGAATATGACATGTGATTACAGCGAGCGCGTGAGCGAGCAGAGATTGAGAAATTTATAGATACAGATACAGAGAGAGAGAGATAGAGAGAGAGAGAGTGTGAGAGAGAGAGAGAGAGAGAGAGAGAGTTCAAGTGTGAGCAGCACACGGCTTACCGGTCTGGGCTCGACCATAGAAATCATTCGCCTGCTGCGATTGACCGTATGCAGCCAGGGCTGCATAGCTGCCGCCACTGACACCAGCGCCGCCGCCGCCACCGCCCAGCCCAATGATGCCATTGCCACCGCCGCTGCCCATGCCACCCACACCCATCATGGCCGGATGCGGCGACATGCTCATCCCATTCATCAGCTGTTGCTGTTGTTGTTGCTGCTGCTGCTGCTGGTGTTGGTGTTGCTGTTGTTGACTAGCGGCGGCAGCTGCATTATCATTATGGTTGTTGTTGTTGTTGTTATTGTTGCCGCTGTTGCTGTTGTTGTTGTTGCTGCTGCTGCTGTTGTTGTTGTTGTTGCCAGGCGACAAACCGAAACGCGTTGAGCCTGTTTCGGTTAAGCGTTTGATTTGTTTGGCTTTGGTTAAAAACTAATCAAATATTAACAAATGTGTGTGTGTGTGTGTTGGTGTGTGTGTGTGTTTGCGAAACGGTGTTGGTATGTGTGAGTGTGTGTGCGTGTGTCTGGTGTGTGAAGCGGTTCATGTATCTCTATTTGAAATCGTAATTACTAATTCAGTTAAGCATCGATCATTTTCATTAATCAATTGCAACTTTTAATGTACGCAAATTGAGTTCTTCAAATCTGGCCATTTTCTTAAATCGATTTCATAATATATATTCTTGATATATCCAACTTTTCGGTGTATTCAAATATTGCAATTAATTTAATTAATTGCCGCACATTGAAAGCTACAATTCCAAATAGTAATTGACTTGTTAACAATTCTGCATTTCAATTTAATTCAAGCTTCAAATGTGTGCTAATTGTTGTCCTTGGTCCTGCAGCGGCGCTAGTCTTCAAGTGGAACTAGTTTAAAATGATCACATGTAAATAAGACTTATTTTGTATTGTTGGAATTCAGCATTTGAAATTAATTTCCATTTTTGTTTACACAATTTTTGTTCACAATTTATGCGCAACTTGTTCTACAGGAATTACAATTAAATTGCAAATAATTATTTATAAATGTATGGATATATTTATGTTGTTAAAGATAAAGAAAGCTCAGATTCAAATGCTCAAAGTCAAAATTACAATTTGAACTAGTTTCGCATGAGGTTTGGAACTAGTTTCAGAAATATTTCGAAATAACAGCTTTAAATTAGTTCAACTTAGATTTGAAATTAGTTCCACTTATTAACATATTTGTGTATACTTAATTTTAGTTTGCGTGTTTTCTGTTTGATATTTGACTAAGAGAAACTAAAACATTTGCAGCAGATGGAGAAACTAATCGAATGCATTATTTTAACTAAAGTTTCCTTTGGGGTACACACATTCTTCTCTTGTTTGGGTATCTGGTATCGGGTCGGTTAAGAACTAAAAAGATGCCGTCTGATTTTGCAGGATGGCGGCTATTTGCGGGACACGCTTCTCGCTCGGCACAACTCACCTGGCAAATGTTGCGTCGCCTGCGGAACGCTGCCCTGCCGCTGGAGCCGCTGCAGCTGTTGCTGCTGGAAGGCATTGCCTGGCGCACCGCCGCCATACGGCGACTGTGGGCCACCGCCGAAACTGAGGCCAACTGGTCCGCTGCTGCCGTCGGGCGTGCTGGCGCCGCTGCCGCCCTGCGCCTGGAAGGAGTTCTGACGCTGCAACACAGCGGCCGCATTGCCCACGGGTCCAACGGCACCGGGTGAGTTGAGGCCGCGGCGCTGCTGCTGCTGCTGCTGTTGTTGCTGCTGCTGATATTGACGCGCATTGAAGTTGTTCTGGTGGGAGATCAGTGAGTGTGTTTTGTTGAGCTGTGTAGTAACTTAGGGACTCACCTGCAGCTGCGCAATGAGCAAGGGATTATTATGCTGTTGCTGTGAGCGACTGGCGTTGCCAGCTGGCAGCGGACCACCCGGTCCGCCACCAACAGCACCAGCGACACCACCGGCTGCTCCACCAGCCACTGTGGTCCATTGCTGCGGACTGCTCTGCATGCCCGGCGATTGCATTCCCGAGCCACTGCCAAACGGTGTATTGGAGCGACCTCCATCGCCAGCCTGTTGCTGCTGCTGCTGTTGCAGATACGCCAACTGTTGCTGCTGTGGATTCTGCTGCTGCTGCTGCTGCGGAGACAGCCGTTGCGCATTTTGAGCAAACTGCGGCCCATATCCTGTTTATCATTGGTTGAGTGAGAAAATGTTAATGGATTTTACAAAGTTTACTTCGGATGTTTACCTTGATTTGGCTGCGGACTGTAGGGTGCACTGCGTCCAGGACTGAGCTGCTGCTGCATCAGCGTTTGCGCAAAGTTGGGACTCAGTTGTGCATCGGCCGGCAGATTGGTCCTCGAGAGCGACACATTCGGCGCCACTGTTGTATTCAGCAGTGAGCCAATATTATTGATGCCCGCATTTATGCCAGCTGCAAGAGAAAGCAGCGCAATTAATAATTATTTCATTTGTGGCGGAGTCCTCTCAGATCATCTTTAGTGCGTGTTTTATACGAGGGGCGGACTCCAGGTTAGGTTAGGTTAAGACGGTTAAAAAACATAGGCCACGTTTGGCCCGAGGTGATACCGTGTGAAATCTAGCTCGGATTTCTTCTACACTCGTCTAAAACCTAAGTTCAAAGATTTGACCAGCCAGTTGCGTTTATAATTATCTAACTCTGATCGCTTTCTGGCAAATGCCGGGAAGAAGTTTTCCGGAGATTCGACTTCTTCGTCTTCTTTACTGCTTCTGCAGAAGTCATTATACGGCACCTGGAGTCCATGAATGCCGACTAACCAGTGTCCTGTTATAGCAGGGAGACTGAGACTGAGATTACATTGATATTGGGCCATATTTGGTGCGATATGCGACCGCATTCGACCTGCGTGTACTTTCTTCCCTGCATACACCTTTTTTTATCCGTGAGGAGGGTTAATAGAGTTCCTTTCCTAGCTAGCTCATCAGCCTTGCAGTTGCCTTCAATGTCCTGGTGGGCGCCAGGCCAGGCTGATAATTGGCTGCTTATGCAGAGCTATGCACGAGCTTGTTACCGATATGGAATTGATTGTCGCTTGGCTAATAATATTTATGTTCACATTGCCTGGACTGACTTCCGCCTTTTTAAGCAATTTAGAGCTTCTCAAAAACACTGCAGTGTGTCAGATGACTGAGGGATAGCTGTATATTGAATAGATCAGAATAGTCACCTCCGCCTGTCGGCGGTCCTGGAGCACTATGGGTTCACTCCTGCCTTGGGGGAAGTATATGCTGAAGGATGTTTCCAGTTGTATTACTGGTACGCAGTAATCTGTATTCAAAGGGATGTTTAAATTCCCTTCTCAAATAGAAGCATGGGTTTTTTTCTGAGCCACTACACTAAGGTTTATCTCCGTGAGTGATGTGAGGGTTGACTCTAACTAACTTACGAAATTCAGACAAAAGACATTTCAGACATTTTATCAGTTAGCCAAACTTTAAGTCGTACTCAAAAGCTAGACAACTATCGTAGATTTCTACATGAGTTGGCTACCACATCTGCGCTCTGAGAATTGGCCAGGCAAGGCACTAAATCATCTCTCGTTTGGCAGACAAAGGATGTGGTTCAGTGCCCATTAGCACTGGCTGACTTCTAGTGATAGACATCTTTGAATAGCTGGCAGACAGAACATGGGAATCAATTACCACCATAAAACTCTGGTGCAGTGGCTGATAAGCAACCATGCAATCAGATTGTCTGTCCCTCAAGGCGACTTCTGCTAATGCCTTGCCCAGTCCAACCTACGGAATGAAAAATGGAACATCTTGTCTGAGATAGCTACACATTCAAAGAGTAGAAAACTAAAGGGCTTTGAGCAGATCTTCCTACTACTGCTAATCGCCCAAAACTTAACCCAAACTAAATAAATTTAGCTATCTTGTGGAAGTCATGGATGTAAGGCAATGCCAGAGTATTGGTTAATTCATTCATTCATTCATTGGCACTCACTTGCATTCTCTGGGACGAGCAACTGTTGCTTTTGCTGCTGTTGCAGCAGTCGCTCCTTTTGCTGTTGCTGCTGCTGGCGCATGTTGCGCATTTGCTGATTGGGCAGCACAACGCAGCCGCCGGGCGTGGCTACAGCATTCATGGGGCCACGCCCACGCGCCTGATAAATGGGCGGTGGCCGTTGGAAGCGACCGGCCTCCATTAAATGTTCCTGTTGCCGTTGCTGCTGGCGTATCAGATGTTGTTGCTGTTGCTGCTGCTGATGCTGTTGTTGTTGCTGCTGCTGCTGCTGTTGATGTTGCTGCTGCAGTCCAAGCATTCCTGGATATGCAGGAGGCTGCAAATGTTGCTGACGCTGTTGTTGTTGCTGCTGCTGCTGTTGTTGCTGCTGCTGCTGCTGTTGTTGCTGCTGCTGTTGCTGTGCGAGCAGCTGTTGATGCTGTTGCTGTGACATAATCAACTGCGGATTCATAGCGTGCAACACGCCAAAGGCGGCCGTTTCCACATCGAGCATCAGCGATTTCTGTATATCGCTGATGGCCGAAGCCTCTGAGGGTGCCGCACTTCCAATGGGCGTGTCATCCGGATAATAATCCATAAAGCTGTCCAGCAGCTTCGACAGCTCCGGATCGGGCGCACCAGCCGACGTTGATGTTGAGGCCGCTATGGTTTGATTTGAGGTAGTTGCTGTTGTCGCCAGCTGCTGTTGCTGTTGCTGGTAAGCCAGCTGCTGCTGCTGCTGCTGGCTGAGGTAGATATCGTTTTGCTGTACCGTTGACTGCTGCTGCTGCTGATGTTGCTGCTGATGTTGCTGCTGCTGTTGATGTTGCTGCTGCAATTGTTGTTGCTGCTGTTGCTGCTGCTGCTGCTGTTGCAATTGTTGCTGCTGTTTGCGCGCCCGACTGTTGGCTGCTGCTGTTGTCGCTGTCGCCGCTTTGGGTCCGCTTTGGCTGGCGGCACTAATGAGATTGCCCGGCACCGACAGAGAGCTGCTCACACTGTTCACCGAGGAGCTGGTGATGTCCGGCAGTGTTTTCACCTGCAGCGGCTGCTCCGGATTTGGTGCTTTGGGCAGCTTGATGGGATTCTGCAGCAGCTTCGCCAGCATCTTGTTCTCTGAGCAGAGCTTGCTGGGCTTATCCTCCGAGCGCTTAACGGCAATGTCAACGTCCGGCTCGTTGAGCGAACGCTTGCGACTCATTGCCGGATCACTTTGGATTTTGAGCATGCGTTTGAGATCCTCGTTGCTCATGTTGGCGCCGCCACCAGCGCCACCACTGCCACCGCCACCACCACTGCCGCCGCCGAGCATGCCATGCCCATGGCCATGACCGCCGCCATCGTCCTTCTGCAGCTGACGCATCAGTTCGCTCTGCCGCACATTGTTCAGCATTCCAGGTCCGCCAGTGCCGCTGCCCGCACCCGTTCCGCCCGCTCCGCTGCCATCATCCTCCTCGCTCTTCTCGTTCAGCAGCTGCAATCATTGTAAGCAATTATTAGTTGTGTGCATATCCAATATCTCTGCCAACTTACCTTGAGCAGCATCGGATTCTGGGAGTTGCCCGCCTTTTGCAGCAGCGCTGCATTTGCTGCACCGCGTCCAACAAGGGGACCGAACAGCCCCATCTGACCGCCCAATTTGAAGCTGCCCGCCGGTCCGACAACGGATCCCACATTGAGCTTCTCATCCTCGTTACACTCTTGCTTGAAGTACTGCATTAGATGAAATAAAATCATTAAAATATCAGTTTTTGAATTTATATCACTTCAATTAGCAAAGCTCAATTGAAGTTGGTTTGATGTGATTTTTTCTCGAAACCAGAGCTGATCAGACTATGGATTGTCAGCGCCTTCAATAGACAACCGATATTTATCGATAAGAAAGCTTGAGTCAGCATGCTTAATGCATAGGAAGTTACCGTCATCTTGCAGATACCGAAAAATGTATATAATTTCCGGACCACGCCCACTTGCGCCTATAAAAATCACAAAAGCCTAAGGTTCTCCCAAATATAGAACTAGATTTGTTAAGCTTGGAACGAGGATTACCATTCACATCCACCTAAGATTAATAAGAACATTTCTTGGACCACTGCATATAACATGCTCAACAATCGATAGTCCGATGTTGTGTAATCGATAGTTCTGCACCTCTAATCGGACGGACTTAAATTCACTTTTCCGTGAATTTTAAATTGAAATTAATAAATATTTTCAAAGAATTTTATTCTTTAAATCAATAATCTTACCTTTTCTTCATCACCCAAACCGCCGGCCTGCGATTTGGTAAGTAGATGACGCAGCCGCTCCGAAGATTCCTGCAGTGGTGGCGTCTGTTGCTGCTGCTGCTGCTGTTGTTGTTGCTGCTGGGAGGTGAGCAGCAAACCACCGACGCCATTTGGCAGACCAACGCCGATTAGAGCAGAGTTGTTGTTACTGCTGCTGTTGCTGTTGTTGGCATTGTTGTTGGCCGTCTGTTGCTGCTGTTGCTGTTGCTCCTTATCCGGTTTGCTGTCCGCCGGATCGTAGGAGTGAAAATTGAAACCGTAGCTGCTGCTCCCGCCGGCACCGGCGCTGGCATTCGATTGCGGCGAGGGCAAACTGGCCGCCGAATGCGAGGAGAGCTGATAGGGTGTCGCTGGCGAGGCACACACAGCCGGACTGAAGCCATGGCCCGAGGGCGGACGTGGCGTACTCACCGGCGTGGCGACCGAGGCCCGTGAATTGGGCCGCGAATCTGTCCAGGCGCCAACGCCTCCGCTGGGATCCATGTCGAACGAGGAATGTGCGATATCAAACTCGAAGGCATCGCTGCCATAAAACGAATGCTCGCCGGGCGCCGGCGATGCAGTGAATGCATTCACCAGCGTTGCCGCCGACGAGGCATTTCCACCTGATGCGCCACTGTTGCCCAAACGCTGCTGCATGCCGCTGCCATTGAGGATGGCAGAGCTCATCAGAGGTCCGCCCACATTCGTTGTCTGTGTGTTGCTGCCACCTCCACTGTTGTTGTTGTTGCTGCCGTTGTTGCTGTTGTTGCTGCTGTTGTTGTTGCTGCTGTTGTTGTTGTTGTTGTGCGGACCGCCGCCGACAAGACCGCCAAGCAGATGTGTGGGCAGCATTGCGGCGGCAGAGGATGTGGAGGAGGATGTGGAACTGTGGCCCAGCACCTCCATGGAGAGTGTATTGACCAGCGTGCTGGCCAAATGGGCGCCCGGCGACATGGCGCACATCTGACTCAAGCCGAGACTCAAGCCGGCAGTGGCGCCTCCGCTGCCCGCACCGGTGTTGTTGCTATTCATATCGTTCTCGGAGTTGAGCAGCGTCTGCACGGACATTATGAAATCACTCTCGCCGGGCGTGTGATTGAGGAACAGTCTCGAATTGGCCTTCACATGCACATAGACATCGGGTGCGCCGAGCCGTAAGCGAAATGGACGTGATATAACATTGGAGATGGAGCCGCCGCCGCCGCCCGATCCCGGATTGCCACCAGAATTGCTGGCATTTGCAGAGCTGCCCGGTGAATGGACTACCGCCGAGTCCTGAATGTCGCGCAGATGCGATTTGAGCGTGGATAGATCATGCGGATGGCATAGATCCTGCCAGAGTCGACCCACCCACGTCTGCAGATGCTGCTTGAACGGATCACGCAGCGCCGTCGCATCCAGGCTGAGTATTTTCCCATGCACATCCAACTTGAAGGTCATCTCCTCGGTCGGCTGATGATGCACATGCTGCTGTATATTGATCTCCAGCGGCGACTCATCCTCCGGCCGTGTGATCAGACACAGCACCGAGCTGCTCGCATCCGCGTCGTCTGCAAGAGTTAACATTTTAGATTTATAATAATCGTCAATAAAAGATTCTTCTTTGTTTGCTTGTTTTCTGTAATTTCCTGAGTCTTACTCTTCCAAATCCTTTGCAACTGACAAGCTGAATAATATATATTTCTATATATTTCAAGTAGTTTTCTGTCAAATTTTATGTTTTAACTAAACATGCTAATTCTTTTAGAATACAGTTTAGTTTTCCCTAGATAAATATCTTTATCTTTTCTTTTATCTATTTGAATTCTAAGTTGAATGTTCTTTGTTGTATATGCCAGAATAATTATTATAAAGAGTATTTAACAATGATCTTTAAAATGAAAACTGAACCGTAAAAGCTCGCTTATATTTTGCGATAAACACGTCGATCAATCAATCAATCAATCAATCACTGAGGATCTTCACTTGTCTTTAAAATTAGCTTCTCTAATCGCACAAGCTAAAATTAGCTGGAAGTTGAAAGAATTCGTTGACTCACCCTTCACTGGCGCCGCTATCAACACGACCTCTTCATACTTGTCCTGGTGTCCGGACTGCCTGAGCGGCTTTTGGTCCATGGCATCGCCGCAATTGGAGGATGAGGATGAGGAGGACGAGGAAGTTTGTGTCGCTGGTCGCGTATCCTTGACTAGCATGCGCACCTTGGTCGAAATGCTGCGCTTCGATTTACTCGCAACGATGCCACTGCCACCTCCTCCAGGTCCTGGGCCTGCTCCATTGCCCGCACTGGAGCTGGAATTGGAGCTGGCTGATTGCTGTGAGGCATTGCCATTGTTTAGCTCATCGAGATCGCCCCAGACGCCGCCAGTCGCTGAACTGTTGCCACCTCCACTTCCCCCGCCTCCGCTGTTGTTGCTGTTGCTGCTGCTGCTGTACATGTTGTTTATGATCGGCTCCAGTTTGGCGTGATCCCCCGAATAGAGGTACATGTAGAGCGGCTGATGGAAGAGCTCGTGCTTCTCATAGCCGATCAGTTCGCGTATGTTCTGCGTGCAGGACTCAATGATGCCGTTCGCGTTCACCTGCAGCAGGACCCAACCCACCGAGCTGATGTAATGTTCGAGTGCCTCGAAATAAGCTGATATTTCCGGCACTTGACCGTTCAGAAGCGATGGCTCTGGCAATGGTGGCTCCGTTGATGAGACTTCACCCTGTTGCACAGGGTGTATCGAGCAGTTGTCTGTCGCACAACGGGTGCACCGGGTTGAGGTTGCTTGTGGTTTGTGGCTATTATTATTATTATTATTATTATTGTTGTTATTATTGTTATTATTATTGTTATTATTATTATTATTATTATTATTGTTGTTGTTGGTCGTTGTTGTGGAGTTGTTGTTATTATTGGTAGATGTTGAGGATATATCACGGCTTTGGCCTTTGTCACAAATATCACGATACTGTAAAGATAAAATAACAATGAAGGGAAATAATTAAAAATTAATTAATAATTAAATAATTAATCATGCGATTATTATTTAGTGTTCTGTTGCGTATATTTGAAGATGAAAAATTAATAAATGTTAGTATTTATTTATTTTTATGTTATATTTCTCAAAATATTAACAGATCGGCTACGATGAGTTCCACCTCTCCTTGCGAATTAAAGCTTCCCAATTTTTGGCTGCAGTCAAGACGATTTTCGGACTCATTTATTTCCGGTCAAAACATATTTGAAATTAAATTCGTAATACACAAATGTAACTCAATATACATACATATGTATGCATGTGTGTAAGTACGTATGTATATACAAATAGGGGTATGCAAACATTTTGCAATGCGGAAGTGTTCTCTGTGTGCACAAATGTTGTGCTCATTTATGTATAATAATAATAAAAAAAAGAAAACAAAAGAAAAACAAAAAACGAAAAAGACCAGACCAGAGCATCAACAACAACAACACAAAGCTCTCCAGCTCCACTCATAATAATTATTATAGCTAACATTCGTGATCGACAGCCGTTTGCTGTTTTTTTTTGTTTTGCAAAGCTTTTGGCTGGCCGACTCACCGACTCAGCGAGAAAAGAGAGAGTAAAGCTCGCGCTGCTCATCATCATGCGTCGGTGTTTCGCTCATTGCTGTGTTTACACAATGAAGTGCAATAAACCGCATTTCATCTCATCTCATCTCAGTTCGACACTGATATGTGTTTGTGTGTGTGTATTATATTTTTACTTCAGCACGCAAATTTTTCGCGCGCGTTTGAGCTTTGAGTCATTGACACAACCAAAATATACACAAACACACTCCACACATACACACGCACTCACAAAACGCAGCGAAAAGCGCTTCAATGAAAGCACAACAAACATACTCCAAACATACTTTTTGTTTCTTAATATTATTCTGTGTGTTTGAAAAGTTTTAAGACGTAGTTGAGACACACACACAAATTTCACAAATTGCACAAATTTTCACAACAACAACATTGTCAAGGTCAATCAACTTGATGGCGCGTGTTGTCAGCATGTCAATGGCTCTTCTATCGTTAACAGTTATTTTTCATTTTTGCTGTTATTGTTATATTTTTGCTGTTTTTTTGTGTATTTATGCGTTTGCGTGTTATTCGAAAGTGCTTAGAATCACTCACTTTAAGAATTATGGCCAAAATAAACAAAAAAGTAAAATCACAGAAGCGTTGCGCACACTCAGCACTGTCACAAAGTTGCCGAAATACTAAACACACATTTTTTGATGCAATTGTATTATTGTATTAAAAAAAAAAAAGAAAAAAAAACAGAAACCCGAAAACACGACGAAAAATGCGAATACAACAACAACAAAGAAGGCGCAAGCCAACGAAGCGTTGCTCTCTCTTTCTGGCCCTCTCGCGCTGCGCTCAACTCAACTCTCTCCTGGTGCTCTCCGGCGACCGTTTGTTTACCGGCTCACGTGTGATACGCTTACATGTGCATGTGTGCATGTGTGTATGGGTGACTGTGTGCTTTCTGTTATCACCCATTGGCTTTGCACCTTGTGTGAGAGGGCGTCGTTGCTGCCGTTGCTGCTGTTGCTACTGCACACACGCAAGTTATAACAACAACAACAGCAAAAATATGAAATTGCAAAGTGCGACGTCATCGCCAAAAAGCGAACAGTTCGTTGATCTGCCCAGTGCAATTGGGAGAGGATAGAGCGAGCTTTTACTTCTTTTTCTTGTTTGCAATGAAGCTCTCATCATATTTACACACACACATGCATACACACACATACATATGCGCCAGCCAACCCGGAAAAGTTGCTTAAGCAGCGGGCACAAAACAATTTTTTTTTTCTTTTTTGGGGTGAAGGCACTCCGAAAATATCAGTCAAATGATAAAATGAACAATAACATGAAGCAGAGCATGCAATAACGAATATATATGTCTAAAACGTGTCTGCTCTTTTTGTTCTTTAAATATACAAATGTGTATAGCTTCAATTTAGCGCATCAGCATCAGGTAATGTGCGAATTGTGCGAGGAGAGAGCTTTAAAGAGCGCAGATGCAAAGCCGCGAAGCAGGCACTAAAAAAAAAACGAATCATAAAACTGAAATAGATCCACGCACAACACAATACACAAAAAAAAGGGGTAAGTATCTGTGTCTGGCAAAAACAATGCGAGCTCGGGTTCATGATCAAGTGAGGGAAGGAAATTAATGAACAGACTTGCCACTTATGATCAACTTATCATAATAATACACAAAAATTTCAAATGCTGTGGATTGTTCTATAGAATTTAGATTAAAATTGAAATACTTTCGAACTTTAGATCGTTTCTAGCAATTTCTTAACAACAGAACACATTTAATATGCCAGCTTTCTCACTCGCACATCGAAAAAATATGCCAGCAGTGAGCGAGCTAGGAAATACTTGGCTCAGTGACAACAGCCGTGACTTGGGTGACTAACCAGCAAAGCTCTCTGGCTTTTCAAAACAAATGTAAGTACGTAAATAAATATATATATATACAAAGATACATACATATATACATAGATGAGTTATAAGCCGCAAATAAGCTGAGCATAACAGCAAAGTCAAGTTTTGAGCCGTTATTTGATACTCTTCGATTTTTAGCAATTGAAATGTTTTGGCTGTGACTAATTGGCAAGAAGAAGCTGAAAATTACCACTAGTTTTATATTAACAGTTCCGTAACAAATAGAATATGAAATTTTAACAAAATATATATTGGTGAAACTTTGGTAATAATTTAGCAATGCTAAGTTCTAAGGAACTGGATAATACTAATGACTAAAAGTAATAAAGAAAATTATATATGAAAGATATTTCAAAGAACTTGAAATGTTTTTTTTAACCCAATAATACTATTGACCATTTTCACAATTCCATTTGTCGTTTTTCTTTTTATCATTTACAAGTTTTTTATAGTCGAATATGGCAGAGCATATTGGTTATGAGTAAGGTCTGTCGAGAGATACCAAACATGAAAGGAAGTTTCCGTTTAACCCTTTTCTAAAGATCGACTAATAAATTTCCCGGCATTATTTTAAAGCTAGAGTTTGCAGACTGTTCACTGAAGATTGGCTAAAATTGTAAGCTTGTAATTTATTGCTATCAGAGTATTCCGTAGTCGGTTACATGTGAGAGCAACGTTCTCACTTCGTTAAAGACATATTGTTTTTTTTAAGAAGACTTTCAGTTATTGCCATTAGACTAAATAACTTAACTTTAATTTATAATTTAATTTTATTTTCTGCTAATTTTATTAAAAATACGTCAAATTGCAATTTGTCACAGTCTGTTCCATAATTGCATTGGTAGTCTAAAAAAAAAAAAAATATCGCACAAAATTAGTGGCATCCCTTTGGTAATAAAATTAAAATTAATGCTGGGCAGCAGCCGCCTGCTCATTAGCCATAAATCAGCGCAATGTAATTCAATTAATTGTCGTTTTCATTTTTGTGTGCAGAACACCCCTAATATATTCTTTAGATAGCTGTGCTAACCCAACTTAATTGCATTAACTCGCCGAATAGTTAAATAAAATTATGGAATATTTGTTGTAATGTTTTTCTTCTTGTTCTTTTTTTTTTTTGTAAATTCCTGGAATTTGTTGTTTTTGTTGTGGCTTTTGTGTTGTCGCTGCCGCATTTAATTTAATTTTGTTTTTGAAGTTCGGCAAAGCGTGGCGCTTACAATTTGCATAATAAAGTGCTTAGGCTACCTGAAACCAATAAAAGAAATACTCAAAACACAAATTAAACAAATCAAACAAAAATAACATTAAAAAAAAAAACAACAAAAAAAACAAGAGAACCTAAAAAAACATGACTAGAATTCAGCGCCGTGTGTCGCTGTCATTGGAAACATAAATAAATTTATGTAAATTAAATACAAATATTAATTAAATTCTTGCAGGCCAAATTACGTCAGTCAAACCAAACAATCTGCTGGGGTCCTCTTGTCTTCCTCAGGCTTAATGTTGGCTCGTTGCGAATTATTTTAATCTCGTTTTCGTTTTCGGTACGCTTTCAGTTTATAAAATAATTGCTTTTTAATTGAGGCGCCATGGAACAGAACAACTGCTTGGAAATTACATTGGGGATTTGTCTCTTCTAATTGATCAATTGGATATTCCACACAGAACTCACCAGCGAAATCCCCACAGAGTGTCACAATTTATTTAAAACTTTGCTTATTAGTTTTCTTTGATGAGTGGCGCCGTTAAATAAATGTTAGTTTCATGGATTGACTTACCGTTCGAACCACTTGATTTAATATTGCCGCCTTATCCGGTTTCGTTGATGTCATATCTCCACGTTTATTGAGCTGCAGGAACTCCGACAGCTGCTCAATATAATTGTTTTCCATTTCACGTCGTCGTTTCTCATTGTTGCACTTGTTTATTTGTGATTGGGGCTGCAAAATTGTACAACAACATTAATAAATTAAATGGAAAGCCACAAAAAACACTGTCAATCTTATGCATATTGGAATAAAGAACGTGAACTTTCTATCCGAGAAACCCACGAAATATAACAGTACTTGTGATATCGATTTATAATAAAGTTTATATAGTTTACATAGCGCTTTTTGTGACAGCTTTTATAACTACAATTTATGTTTAAATGCAACATTTTAACTAGTTTTTTTTCGAGTATAATTTCTAATGTGAAACCTTGTATATAACGGTACTGATAATGCTTCAAAATTATTCCCAACCCATTTGCTAAATTTTCATTTGTGCCTATATCATTTCCATTTTTTTTAAACCATTTAGCTATATATACAAATATATAGATATCGAACAAATATTAAAAAAAAATTCTAAATACTCAAAAACAAAAATGTGTTAAAATTTAAAAAGCCTTTTTCCTTTTTCCAGAAATATATTTCTGAATAATAGAAAATATTTCTAAAAAGTAGAAATGCAAATAATTGTTTAGAAAAAATCATTTCTGAAATGCAGAAAATAGTAATAGAAATTTGTTCTCTTTGCTGCTATTTTTGAAACTCAGTTGGAAATCAAATGGATTGCGAACGAGTTCAAATAGCCGTAAGATATTTTCAAATTATATTTAATTATATGAATTTACCCAGAAGGTAAATGATATATATGTGAAATCTTAAATTACTAATCATAATCATAAAATAAGTTTGAAAAGGGAGCTGAGAGATTTGTAAGAGATTTGTATACACAAATAAAATAAAACTGGAAATTAAACATATTTTTTCTATATTTTAAAAAAGTTTAACCTAGAATTTTTGCCTTGCTGGTTTTTTCTTTGTAAAATTCGCCACGATTTATTTTTGTGAGTGTTTATCGACATTATCTAAATGGCTTATATATATATATTATTTTTTTTCTACATTTTAAAAAAGTGTCTCCAACAATTAAGAGAAGAATTATACTGGTGTTTTGGAGAGAGATAAGCTTCCGTTCAAGAAATATGCTTGCCGAATAACAAGGTGAGTTACCCACTGATTCATCTTCTTTATATATATATTATCTACATTATATATTATCTACATTATCTGAATGGCTTACCAAATTGATTTTCGTGTCCGTCTTGCGGCGAATCTTGCGCGCCGACGTCGCTGAGTTGGCTGGAATCGGCGATGCCACCGCATTCATGGCGGGCGATCGCTGCAGCGCCGCTGCAATCCGTGCCGTTGCGGAGTTTAACTGCTGCTGCTGATGCAGCGGTTGTTGCTGCTGCTGATGTTGCTGCTGCTGCTGCTGCTGGTGTGGGTGATGCTGCTGATGTTGGTGCTGCTGCTGTTGTTGGTAGAGAAGCTGTTGCTGCTGTTGCTGTTGCTGCAGGGTGAGCAAATTGCTGGCAGCTGCTGCTGCTGCTGCTGCAGCGGCGGCAGCGGCGGCGGCAACTGCTGCTGGCGAGGGTGAGGATAGGGGCAGGGGCAGGGGCGAGGGTGAGGCGGTGTTACAGCTGCTAACACCAGCGCCAGCACCAACAGCGCCTCCTCCGCTCGCTGCCGTCGCGCGCTGCAGCGGCGTGCTGGGCGCCAATCCGTGTTGCAATTGGGCCACCGGTGCCGGGACGGGGCCCGGACCAGTTACCACGCTACCGCCAGTGGCTGAGATTGTAACGGCTGCGGTCGCAGCGGCCGGCGATGAGCGCGGATTGCAAGCTGAGTGGTTGTGGTTGTTGTTGATGTTGCTGTTGCTGTTGCTGCTGCTGTTGCTATTGTTGTAGCTGTTGATGTTGATGTTGATGTTGCTGTTGTGCTTGTTGCTTGTGGCAGCTGCTGCACCGTGTGTTGTTGCTGTACCTGAGGCCCAATGATCTGGTAAGTCACCTGGGCTAAGCCTGCAAATAGAGTAGCAAATCAAATTACATTTGAAATTAGTGGAAAGTTTTCGCTTTTCATTTAAATTTGTGCCAAAGCTGTCACTTTGACATTGCCATTTGCCATTGACCACCTGTTTGGTGCCACAGACACAGGCACAGACACAGACAAAACACGCCTCAAACTAAATGCAAAAGAGGCCTCGATCTGACTCGATTATAGCCTCATTCATTAGCATTCTCGAATCGCATTCACAGACCGACTCAAGTAAGTGCCTCAGATTATAAAATAAAAGCGTTTAGCTTGCAAAATGCTCATTAAATTTGTTGACTATAATCAGCATAAATGAATCCAATTAGATCATATTGAGAAGTGATCAACAAAACAACAATTATATATACATACACATAAACTAAATAATAAACTTAAAATACAAAATAAATAATAAATATTTCTGAGAAATTTGCTGTTAATAAAGCACAAATTTGACAGAGCCAATAAAAATCGCATTATTCTTTTAGTTCTTATTGAGATGTAGCCAAAGTGTGTCTACATTGGAAAATATTTGTAAACATTTTTCGCATATTGCTGAAATTGACAGGCACTCTTCAAATTGCGAAAATTATAAGGAAAAATAGTAGCAAGTTTTTGAAGTGGACCCTTCGTAAATAGAAAGCAAATAAAATGCCACACAAAATAAACAATTAATCACGTAACCAAACACATGCAAAAAAGTTGTATAAACAATTTTAAAAGACAACAAGCAAAAGAGACAAACAAATCAAGAACAACGAGCAAAATGTGTGTATAACGTTGAAGACCACCCGAAAACCACGAACTCAGTTGGGCTTTTTGGGGCAAGGAGGTGGACTCTGCCCCTCCGCCCCTCTGCAAGAACCAAGCAACGGGGCAGCATCCAGCTAAACTGACAACATTAATTTGACTCACATTGTGGTTGCCGACTCGCCCAGTGGCGGACAATAAGGCTGCTCAGTGGTAATCAGGGGTGGTCAGGGCACAGCAGGAGTTGCAAAATAATTTGGAATTCCTTTTTTTTGGTGAAATCTGAGAGTGAGAAATTATTGTGTGGCCACACCAAAGAAATATTGCCTGATGGTTGCTAAGGCACCGAAATATATTCACTCCATTTATTTATATTATTTATTCCACACTGCAGAACTCTGCTGCATTTAAGTATGTATTAGAAGATCACTGAAATACTCAAGTTAAGCCAATTGTTAAATATATTATTATAGTTTTTGACTGGGTGTTTCTATCCAATCTTCATTGCATTTGATCAATATTGACACATTATTATATTATATATTAACGGGAAAAGTCTGCCTTCAAAATGATAACTTTTGTTGCTATCGTATATCGATATGTATCGATATTTGTCGATAAAATAAAATAAACTTGACATACGCAAGGTTTACAAGAATTTATGTTTCACATATGAGTTCTTTAACTCTCATAATTGATTCTGCTATGGATGCTGATCACGAATATATATATTTTATGGGGTTGGAGCTGCCTCATTTGGCCTGTTACATACTTTTGCATAACTTCAATATACCCTTTTTCCCTATCAGGATATAATTGGCACCCAATTGCATTTAAATATATTACTATTAATTTATTTATTTATTAATAATCATTTTAATTAATTTCACGAGTGATTAGAGGTGAATCAGATCTTGTCTTTTTAGGAAAAAGCAGCAAGCAGCAATAAATAAACAAGCGATTCACATTATATTCATAAATTCGTACATAAATACATACATACATACATATGTATGTACATACATTGAAACATGTTTACATAGTTAAGTGTATGACAAATGTTTGTCTTGTTTGAGTTGAGGCGAAAGTTGCGTTAATCGAGTCGCGCCGAGCGAATCTCTTTGCGATTCGCCGATTCTCCAACTGGCGACCGACTGTTGGAAATGCTATAAATATCGCGTACCTCATCAGACTACGATTGATAAGTTTTTGAAATTGACTCTGCGAGCAATGCGATAGCTGCACATAATAATTGTATATAAATAATTATGTGCATGGCAAAGTGCAAATAATGATAAGCACTACGACAACAGTTGAAGCAGCAGCAACTGCATTAATTGTAATTTAATTAATTAATGCCGCGCTTTATATTCGCTGGCTTCTTTAATTAAGCACGTCAATCATACGCCCTGTGTACTATACTGACCAAAGACAATGTCTCAACATCATCAGCAGCAGCATCTACCTCATCATCATCATCATCATCATCAGCATTGCTAGCTGGCACATTAATGTGTCACCCTGTCAAAGCGAACAGAAAAATAAAAATAAAAACTATAAAAAAAAGTAATTCTGCCACAGAGCTGACTAAAGAATCTGCACAATTATTGCGTCTGTCAAGGGAAACATCCGGTTGCCAACGGGTTTGCGACGGGGTGTTGTTGCCAGGGGGGGTTGGGGGGAGCTGTAGTGCTGTAGTTGCTGGTACGTCACTCATTTTCGCGCTCATTGCATAGCTCGGCTATTCACTATATATATATATATATATATATATATATATATTTATTTTTTTGTTTTGGCCAGCTGCCCATTGCCTCCTTTTCTTCTTTAGTTTCAGACTCAATTCGAGCTGACGTTTTACACCCTGATCATGTAAAGAGTATATTGGTTTTGTACCACTTTAACGAGAACAAATATAATCATCCATGTTTGGATCAGGCAAAGTTCTTTGAAATCGATAACACGTCGATAAAATTTCGATGAAATATTGCTGGGGATCTGCTTCAAAGCCTTGTAGATTTCCTTGTAAATTGTAAAATTCCAAAAACCCGACCAAATTATGAAGGCTTCACTACCAATATTCTTCTTGACTTTTCATAACTGGCTTAAGTAGAGAGTATTTAGTAATCGTTTATTCATTATTCGATTGTATTTCTGTTGATTCCTTCAGTTACGCAACTAAACTGTACAAAGATGTCAACGAGTTAGTCAATATTAATATAAAAATCTATTTATTTTTTTAGTATTCAATTTTTTACTCAGACTTTTATGTGTATTTTAGAATTGACTTTAGTGTTGTGTAAATTGTGTATTTATGATAAGATTGTATTATCTTTAGTATTGATATATAATTTATAATATTTCCAGTTTAGTTTTTAATTCTCAATTCTTTTTATGATAAGCTTGAAGAGTATAATTTAATCAACAAATAATTCAACAAATTCCATTAAAAATTATTGAATATAAACAGCTTCAATTTGAGGTCGAGAGTATGCTTCAAGACTTTAGTTACTTTTCCATCGTATCGTTCTGCGTAACATTTTCTTAGATTTATTTTTACAGGGTACCTTTTGGCACATCACAGTCAGATACTGTGCTTAACCTATTCCCGCTATTTGGGTTTACTTTATTCTGATTACATCGCTGACTCGCCAGTGGCCGTAATTATTTGGACTGCATTCGCATTCGTAGCCGCAATCTCTTTGGGACTCTGTCGAGGCCTTCATTATGCATATCATGTAATTACAAAAAATTTAAGTCACAAAGTTGGCCGCTGGACAGCAGCCCCAGTTACAAGGTGGTCCCAGACAGACACACAAAGTTTCTGCTTTTTTTTTTCTGTTGCAATGGAGTTGTGCGCGAAAATAAGTATATAACGATGGGTGGTTTTAACAATAATAATAAAACTGCACTATAAAAGTAATGAATACAAACTGTAAAAGTTTATTTAAGAAACTTTTTGTATGTGAAATTGACTAGGCAGTTGCGAAAACTAATGTCAACTTGCATGACTTTATTAAGACTTGCTGATTCATATTAAAAGCTGCGCTCAATTCAAGATTAAATTTAATAATAATAATGATTCTAAAAGCTCAGCACGCATTTCCTTGTCAAACAGCTAAGCTTGCTCTTAAAACAAATTGATAAAAATAAATATAATGATTATGATTATGGCTATGATTATGATACGATGACGATGACGATGACGATGACGATGACGATGACGTTGATGATGTTGATGTTGATGAGGCCGTTTGCTATCTGTAAACATTGCAGTCAACATCAAATTACTCATACGCACCGTGTGACAGAAGGCACCCATTTGTCTTCTCCCTCTTTCTAGGTAGAAGCCACTGGCTGCACTGTTGCTTTGAGGTTAAGCTTAAAAATGTTATGTGTGTGTTTTATTTGGTGATTTAAATTTGGTCTACGTGATGTGTGACTTGTAGACAGAGTCCCAGCTGGGACGGAACTCGGTAGCTCGCTGGGAATCTCCAATAAAATTTCACAAGCACGAGCGATTTCACAATGCCGGAAATTATGTTGAGATTGCTGAATTTGAACAGCCGGCGAGCATAAAAACCGGAATTTTGCACGTGAGCTTGGGCATGAGTCTTGCTACATTTCTTTTATTTGTTTTAGCCAATTAAATGTGATTGATTTAAATAATTGAGTAGCCAAAAAATGTCATTACTATTAAATGACAACAATTGCTAAATGCTCAGAGGAAAGAGTTATTTAACCCGTTAAAAGCCAAGGCATTTTAAAAGCAATGCCGTTTTTATGTTTAGTTATGTTGTAAATAATATAAACAACTACAAAATTTGGAAAATAATATAAATAAACTTACCTAATCTACTCAAAAACGTTTTCCTATAAAAAATTAGCCCTTTTCCCCTTATAAATCGACATGCTTCAAATGCAGCTAATTTCAGACTGATTTGCTAAAACCGCTAAAAATATGCAGAGAAGTACTAAGAAACCGCAAAAATTTGATTACCGTTAATCGTTATCTCTACTTTACCCACAACAAATTGTGCATGATGAAATCATCGAATCGAATTATGAAAATAGTGTTTTGACAGCTAGTTGAATGTGATAAATGATGTTGTGCCCAAATAGGTACAGTGGCCGGGAATGGGTTAAGCCAGAAGCGCACTTAATACTAAAACACACAACGCACTGAAATTTTAGAATGGCAACACTGATCCAATTTGATGGTCGTGTTTACTGCTGA